GTATACATAAATGATCAGGATGAAAAAAGAAATCGATTAAGCCATGTCTGTCTGTCCGTCCGTCTGTCCGTCTGTCCGTCTGTCCGTCTGTCCGTCTGTCCGTGTACACGATAACTCGAGCAAAAATTGAGATATCTTAACGAAATTTGGTATGTAGGTTTCCCTTAATCCAAGGTAGGTTGGTATTGAAAATGGGCGAAATCGGACTTTAACCACGCCCACTTCCCATATAACGGTAATTTCCAGAAATACGAAAACTGCGATATTTTAGTAACTACTAAAGATAATTCACTCAAAATTGATATTTATAATAAGTTTTAGACGAAAAATAAGAATATTACAAATTTTTGGAAAATGGGCGTAGCCACGCCCACTTATGGTTATATGCGTATATCTTGGTAACCGCTGCACCAATTTCTTCCAAACTTGGCACAGTTGTTGGCCTTCGCACAACATACTAAATGGCCGAAAATTTTTAAAATCGCTCAATAACCACGCCTACTTCCCATATAACGGTAATTTTCAGAAATACGAAAACTACGATATTTTAGTAACTACTGGAGATTATTCGCTCAAAATTGATATTTACAATAATTTTTCGACGAAAAATAAGAATATTATAAATTTTTGGAAAATGGGCGTAGCCACGCCCACTTATGGTTACATGTGTATATCTTGGTAACCGCTGCACCAATTTCTTCCAAACTTGGCACAGTTGTTGGCCTTGGTACAGCATAAAAAATCGCCGAAACTTTTTAAAATCGGACAATAACCACGCCCACATCCCATATAACGGTAATTTAGAGAAATACAAAATCTTCGATAAATCAGTAAATATTGAAGCTAATTTATTCAAAATTGATACTTGCAACAATTCTTTACCAAGAAATACGTCTATGGTAAAATTTTGGAAAATGGGCATGGCACCGCCCACTTATGATCACATCGGTAACCGTTCTACCAATTTGTACCAAACTCGGTGTGGTTATTGTGCTTGCCACATATAAGCA